CTAAAAAGGTAAATAATATTGGTGTAAATTGTACCTCAATAATACCTTATTTTTTAAAAAATCCTCAAAGTTAAGTAACTTCATTCCTCAGAATCAATTCTAAAAACACAAAAAACATGGACAAAGATTTTAAATACAACACAATTTTATTCATAAGAACAAAAACTCAGGTATGGGAGATTACATAAATTATGATATGGTCACACAGTGGAATCAGATAGAGTCGTCGACATGTTTCCAAAAAAATATACTAACGAAAAAAAATGTTCGTGATATATTTAGTGGCAGAAAAAAAAACTACAACAAAAAAACAAAAAAACTATACAACATCTCAACTATTTTAAATATATACATTTTAAAGTACTGAAATGAAACAGATCAAATGGTGATGGCATTAACGTAAATTTTATTTTCTTTAGAAACTTTATTTCCTAATGCTTATCCCCTCTCCAGGAAGTATAACTGACATACAATATCCTATTAGTTTCAAGTGTACGTTGTTATCTCCATCTGTCACTACACAAAGCTATTACAATACTATTGACTCTACTGACTGTACTCCCCAGGCCGTACATTACATCCCCTAGAATATGATATTTTACCACTGCAAACCAGTGAGAGAAATTTTTTGAAGTCATCGCCAATATCCAACGCCTCCATTTGTTCTCACATCTTCTAGGATTGAGGCTAAAACCCCACTCAACCCCACAGCCCAGCCAAGCTGAAGCACTCAGAGTTGCCCCCATCTGCGTCCTGCTCCACACACCCCTCCCTTTTGCTCAACTTACTCCCTCCATTTTGAACACTATCCTCACATCCACCCTTTCAAAGCACTGACTGCTCTCTTCAGTGTGCAACAGTTACCATTTTCAGTCTAATGTACTTCCCAACATCTGAGATCGGCCAACCCCACTCTCAGTGCCCTAGTTCAGGGCCTTCACCATATATGCTAATCAAGACTCCTGAGGGTACAAGAGACAAATTTAATCCAGCTTCAGCCAAACAGGAGATTTATTTTAAGGACACTGATTTATTTCCCATAAGCACACTGTGGGAAAGGTGGGTGTCCCTGGACCTCAAATGCCAGGAGAATTCTCATTCTCTATTATAGACCAACTTTTTCTACACAAGTGGAAAAATGGCTGCCAAGAGCTATCTAGGCCCAAATCAGGTTCTCAAATCAGACAAAGCAGATGGTGGTTTGTTCCCAGATTCAAAAGTCCCAGCTTGGATCAAGTGCCAACCAGAACCAATTAACTATGGTCACAGGGTTGGGAGGGGGTTACAAGGTCACATAGTATTGGCACTGTTTTCAGAAAAGAGAAAACTGTTATAATCTAGGCACCTGTCCTAAAAATTCCTACTGCACCATCTCTCATCTGGATCAATGTGATAGTCCCCCAACTTAAGTCTCCTGTCTCCAGTCTTCCCCTACCTCAACCAAACTGCCACAGCGAAGCAAGAGGGATCTAAAATAACTTCCTTTTTAAAATCCTTCTGTTAGTTCCCCATAAATTCATGCCGGGAGAACAAAAGATGGTGGTTTTATTACTCACGAGTCATTTTATTACTCACGAGTCTGTGCAGAGCAGTGAGAACTCATACACGCATTCCTGGATTACGATGGTGAAGACAGGTAGATCCTTCACAGTCTGGCCACATCTGACCATTCCAGCCCCACCTCTGTCTCCCCTTCCAGACCCATCCCTCCCACCCTCTACCCAAACCTGCTTCCCCACTCCCAGGTCCAGGCAGACTAATCTACTAATCTGACCGCCCCACACTTTCTTTTTGCTAGGCCTCCGCACCCATATCCCCCTGAGTTTAGAAAGCCCATCCTCCACAGATATGCCCAGACAGTTTCTACTCGTCTTCTGGACGTGGCTCTAACGTTATCTTTTTCTGGAAGCCTCCACTGGCTGGCTGCTTACTCTGAGTTGGGCCAGTGCCCTGACTCTCCGACTCCACACTCTGTGCATACACCTAAATTTAGACTGCTTATACACCATTTTACTCACCCTTGTCCACAGCTCTAAACTCCAAGTTCTTGCAAGAATCACCTGGTATCTAACACAATGCTCATAAAATTGGGGCCGAGAAAGAGAAAAGCAGCCCCTGGCAGTCAGGAACTGGCCTGGCACGCACAGCCTGACCCTGGTACTGTCATGTGAAGGTAAACACGGACAGCCAAGTGACTGTGTAGTGTATACCCAAGAAACAATGAAGAGCATGGCGGGGGCGGGGGGGGGGGGGAGTTTTAAGTAAAAGTGAGAGCTAAGACTGGAAAGTGAGGGTGGCTGGTTAGATCCTAACTTCTTCAAAGATGAGGGCTGTCTCTCCCTCGTTCTCATCTCCCCAGAACCTACCACAGGAGCAGTGCAGGTAGAAACATCCCAGATAGCTGTCAAACTGGATAAATGCACAGGTATACCAAACGTGCCTCCTCCGTAGGTCTTTGCTGCCCACAGGCTCTGCTTCCCTCAACAGCCCCGTTTTCTACCATCAACATAACCAAGGATGGGCACGTGATCTGCGACCTGCGAATGCTCAAAAACATAAGCCAGGCCAACGAGATTCCTCCCTTGAGAACTGGGAATTAGAGACAAAGACTCAGTTATTATGGGCCATTTTCGAAACGATACAGTTTTGAGACAGCCAGTCAGCAGAGAGAGAACCGAACAGAGAAGAACAGAGAAAACAACTCCTCCTAAGGAAGAAAACAAACGTGGCCCCCGGGGAGAGGGGCAGAAGGTGAAGCTGCCTTGGATGCTGACTTCTCGCTGACGCCCATCAAGTCCCATAAATCTCCTTTTCCCTGAGGTCAAAGAGTAAGTCTCCAGCCCTTGCCTTCAAAACAGCCCTAAACAGTGGCAGATAAAGCTGAGAAACTGACAGTTTTTGAGCAAAGGCAGGAAGAGGGAGATGGCACGCTGGCATGGTCCTGGGGAAGGTAATCTCCCAGCGGTGTACGTGACCCCGACTAGAAAAACACAAAAAATGAGAACTCCCCAGCCAGGGAACCACCAAAACAACCCAGGGGAGAGGCGACGTGCGGTGGGGATGACGAAGAAAGGACAGATATGAGCTTGAACAACGTAAGATCCTCCATATTTGACCTTTTCACCTACCAAAATATCGAGAAGAGAGATTCGGGATGTAAGATCAAAGAAACCATGAGACTGGAGATTTTTTTTTTTTGAAATCTTTGAAAACTCAAAGATGATTAGATGCCAAGCATAGGTGGCTGGAGGAGGGTGCAGCCATTAACAAAAAGAGGGAAGAGGGAACTCGGAAGTGGGGGGGGTGGGGGTGGAGTCAGGAGTTCTCTCTGCAGGGTAGTGCCCCCCTCTCTCCTCACCACTCCCGCCCTGGGGTGCCTTGGCAGGCTGAATTTGAGGTGCTCCAAGAAGAGCTGGGTTGGATAATCCACCCGGCACTGGGAAAAACAGATCTGGAAATCATTCACACAAAGAATGCCGAACAAGGATTCTCATCCTTGCGTCCACCGGAGTGACTTGGTAAGTGGGCCAGATGCACGTATTCCTTGGCTTCTCCCCCAGACAATCCCATTGGGTAGATCTGGGGTGGGCCCAGAACCGACATTTTAACAAGCACCCCAGAATGATTTTCATGAGCGTGTCCGTGCTACTAAAGCTCCAGAACAAAGAACGCAGTCTTGCCCGCAGAAGTTATCAACCTTGACTCTCCATCAAGTCCCCTAAGGTGCTTTAATTTTTTTAGACGTTTGGTCCTCCGTGTTGCCCAAGTATGGGCAATGCCAAGACGTCAGAATCACCCCCGCCCCCCATAATCGGAAGGGGTGATTCCAGAGCCACACCCCAGGCCAGCGGTAAGGCTAGCAAAACCACATTTTTAGCCAGCGCCCCTAGCGGCCGGCAGAGACGCTTCCCTAAACGGTTATTAGTAAGAAAACACTGCTCATCGGTTTAAACCCCTGTGTCAACAACGACTTGAAGGAAAAATAACCCAATATTGCTGGCTGACAAGGAAATCGCTTCCCTAGAAATAAATCCCAGACGCGTCGCAATCAATGGCTTCCTGGTATTCTGCCAGGCAGATAAAGGCCCACACAGGACAATGGAGCAATGAAGCCCGCTAAGAAAGCAAGGGAAGAAAACCAACCACCCCGCCCTTGGAGGCCCGGGGAGAGAAATCTGGAACGCCTGCGGTAACGGTACCAGCGACGGCGGGTCCCCCAGTGGAGGCCGTGCCAGCTGGACAAAAGAAAAACAATGGTTTCACTCAGGTTCCCCGCCCCCAGCCAAGCACCGCTCCGCCGGCCGGCGGACTGACCACCGCGGACACCAAGTCCCAGGCCTTCCCGGCGCTCCAGCCGGCCGGACCCCGAGCCGCCCCCCCCCCCCGCCCCCACCCCGGCTCCCAGCCGCGACCCCCCAACCCCCGGCCCGGCCCTCTCCCCGCCCGGCCGCGGCCCTTCCTCACAGGGCCTCCCCCCTCCCCCCCACGTCCGGCCGCGGGCCCTCCGCGCTCGGCCTCGCCCCCTCCCCACCCACCTCCCTCCTCACCCGGCCGCGGGCCCCTCCACACCCGGCCTCGCCCCCTCCTCACCAGGCCGCGGGCCCTCCGCACGCGGCGTCGCCCGGCGAGACACCCGGCCTCGCCCCCTCCCCGCTGGGCCTCGCCCCCACCTGCTCGCCCCAGTCATCCCGCGAAGCCGACCACCGCACTGACCGTCTCATAACGCGGCCCGAAGACCGCGCCTACAGCTCGAACGGAAAGGACCCGCTTTGCCGCGGGCGCTGTCAGAGGACGGGAAAGGGAGAGACGGCGGCTTTCAGCGCTTCGCCCTCAACAAACCCGGCGGCCATTTTCCTCCATCTCCGCGAGCTGACAGGTCACGTGGCCGCGGGTGACGGGGCGGGGCGGAAGGTGGCCACGCCCCCCCCGGCGGGCGGGGGGGCCAGTCCCGAAGGCTGCGGGGCGCGCGCGGGCAGGTGGGTGTGGTGCAGGGTCAGCGAATCACCGCGCCCAGCGGCCCTCCGCCCCCTCCCTCTGGCCTCCAAAGGGGTGCAATTTGACAAGCGCCGGGGGCAATATTTTCTTCCTCGTCGGTGTCGCTCTTCCGATTATCGTTCACTCACTCCTAATCCCTATTCACCATTGCAATCAAATTGTACGCGGAGTAACTTAAACCCAATTATACTTTCAGAAGACATCTCTAAGGCGTTGCGAACGAAGGCCTGCTCAAGCCCCTTCCTCGGGAACCCACAGGAGAGGTGTCAGCCCCGTGGAGCGCCTGTGGGATCTGCACTCCTGGTCTTCCAGAGAGCCCACCGCCTCCCTCCCCGGCTCCCCAGACCCCTGGCCAGCCCGGGCCGTCCACCCAGTCTCTGCTGAAGGTACCTCGGTCTTTCCCGAGGCCAGAGCGATTGACAGCTTTCAACTCACTTCTCCCTGTTTCACTCGGTTCCAGACTCCTTCCTGGAAGTGTTCCCCTCTCTGGGCTTCTATGACTCTCATTGTGCTAGTTTTCCTCCCATTCCTCTGGCTGCACCTGTCAGATTCGACCTCCCTTAAATTGCTGGTGTTTCCAGAGTTCAGCGCAAAGCTCGACTCTTCACCGTCCCCACCCAGTGTGATCCTCCTCCGGGACTGCTCCTGTCTGGGGACCTGGCGCCTGTCGCCCAGCCACCGAGACCGAGACCGGAATTGGGAAGTCTTTTTATAACCTCTCCCTCCCCTTCCCAATGACATCCCATCAGCCTCTTCATCAACCCCCATCAGTCTAAAGGCTGCTGAAGCTCCCCTCCAAGGCTATCCCCAGAGCCCCCAACCCTCTCCCTGCCTCTGCTGGTGCCCTGCTAACTGGTTCTCCAGCCGATTGCTCCCTCAGGTCACTGCTTTGCCTAAACTCCTCAGCAGCCTTCCATTTCCATAAAATAGATTCCCAAAAAGTACTTAACATGCAAGACTCCTCGGGGGGCGGGCCCCTGACCCACTTCTAACCCCTGCTCCACCCACTAGTTTCCGTCTATCCTGCCCCCACCCCCAGGCTGGCAAGGATTGACAGTTCCTGGAACAATGGGCCTGACTCTTCCTCATTTCCATTCTTTTCCCAGGACGGTCTTCCCTGCCTCTTGCCCAGCTGCTTCCAAGAGATGAATTCCTTTTTCTAAGATACCATTTAAGTAGTCCCCAGTTTTGTATAGCTTCCTGGAAGACTTCAAGCAGAGCTGGCCAGTCCGTCTTCGGTAGCCATAGGGCCTAGTAGGTACTCAGCATGTGTTAAAGCATTTTTAACCTGTTTACCTGTCTTCTCCCACTATAAGGTTCAGTACATCCTTATTCCGCACCAACCCCCTTGCCCTGTTTGGAACAGTGTCTGGCCTTAACAAACCACTGAGGAAGAAACCACACTATCTACAACGCTGCCAAATTATTTGGGGGTGCTCCCTCCTGGTCTCACGCATGTCCCAGCAACATCTGATGGAGCCATACTCCTTGTTGGCTTTTTCTAGAAGTTGCCAGCTTGATCCATGGAGAAATGTTTTCAATGGTTCCCAGCCTTGGCACACCAGACGCATCCGTGGACCTTCTTAAAAACTAAGAGCAGGGGCGCCTGGGTGGCTCCGTCGGTTGAGCGTCCGACTTCAGCTCAGGTCACGATCTCACGGTTCGTGAGTTCGAGCCCCGCAACAGGCTCTGGGCTGACGGCTCAGAGCCTGGAGCCTGCTTCCGATTCTGTGTCTCCCTCTCTCTCTGCCCCTCCCCCATTCATGCTCTGTCTCTCTCTGTCTCAAAAATAAATAAACATTAAAAAAAATTAAAAAAAAAAAAAGAAAAACTAAGAGCACACTTGGGGACTTAAAAAAACATCTCCCCAGCTGATCCCAATGACATACCATTCTCAGACTTGGGTTTGAGTCCCATCGTGTCCAAATCAGTGATTTCAATATGAACATACTGTTTTAATGTCAAGTGATTTTTTGAAGGCCTACATAGCATAGCAGGTGACATTTTAGTAACCCCTGATTGTGACAGTGACATGGGAATAGGAATTTGTGGTTTGACAAGAATCGGTAGCCCCAGAAAGGCAGCCTGGGCTCGAAACACAATGAATTGAGTAGTCAGCCAGGCATTTGACAGATGTTCTGGAGGAGTTTGCGCACACAAAGAGAAAACGTGGCTTACGTATCAGAAAACGGGCCAAGAGGCACTGAAGATCTCACTGAAGTGTCGGCCAGGGAGATGATGACTCAGGAAGGCAGGGTTCTTGAATCATGCGCCTCCCCCAGGAGCTCCCCCGCCTGTGTAATCCCCACGGCACCACCACGCGCCCCAGCCCCTTCACCCCATAATTTCTGGAAGCGCAACGGGCCTGCCCGGTTAGCACAACCACCCCTTCCAACAAGCTGGCGTTAGACAGGCCTCAGCTTCTGTATCAGCTGAGCTCTGCCCACCCAGCAGGTGTCAGCCGGGCTGAGTGCCAGTGAACCGCCTCTCCAGAACACCTCTCTGGGGGATACTGGAATATACAACAGCAAGCAAGGTACGGGAGGTGGGGCAGGAAGCTCTGGTCCTCCAGCTTAGGTGGTCCCAAGCACCCATGCACTGCTGTGGGGATTTCTCAGTTAAGAGCCTGGCAAATCCCATTCTAGAAGTGCGACTTTCAGTCCCAGACTCCAGAAAGACAATTGCCGATGCTACCTGAATGCCCCCCCTTCCTCTTTCACCCCCCCTCCCAAAAAAACCCTGAAGATGCTCAGTGTACAAGTGGTTCTTTTAGGAATTGTTTTTTTTATTTATTTTTTTTTAATTTTTTTTTTTCAACGTTTATTTATTTTTGGGACAGAGAGAGACAGAGCATGAACGGGGGAGGGGCAGAGAGAGAGGGAGACACAGAATCGGAAGCAGGCTCCAGGCTCCGAGCCGTCAGCCCAGAGCCCGACGCGGGGCTCGAACTCACGCGAGATCACGGGAGATCACGCGAGATCGTGACCTGGCTGAAGTCGGACGCTTCACCGACCGCGCCACCCAGGCGCCCCAGGAATCGTTTTTAAAACAGTCCATATAACAGCCTGGAAAGAAGCTACTGGAAACAGGCTTTACTCCGGCCCAAATTTTAGTGGAGGATGAGAGGAAGGTCAGATGACGGCAAGGAAAGCAGAGAGAGAGAAGAGAGAAGCACTGAGGGAAATTAAGATCTTGCCAGCTAGGGTTCCTCCTCCCTTGCAGATCTGACCTGGGGAAGGGAGAACCTTAAATTCAGGAGTTTTAGTATTATCCGGGCCATGCATTTAATTACCAAAATGAGAATCTTTAAGCCAAAAGTGAACAGATAGTTTTATGATCTAAGAGGGAGGATAAAATTATTTTTTTAAAAAAAAGTTCATTTATTTATTTTGAGAGCGAGCGAGAGAGAGAACGCATATGGGCGCATAGCAGGGGAGGGGCGGAGAGAGAAGAAGAGAGGATCCCGAGCGGGCTCCACACCGTCAGCATAGAGCCCAGTGCGGGGCTCCAACTCTTGAACCGTTAGATCATGACCTGAGCCGAAATCGGGAGTCAGACGCTTAACCAGCTGAGCCACCCAGGCGCCCCAAGGAGGAAAATTGTTAAGTGATGAGCCCTACCGGATATTTCATCCGCTCCCAGGGGTGGGGAGCGAGGCGTAGCTGTAGAGTTTGTGCAGGTGCGGTTCTGAGGAAAAGAGAGTTATTTCATAATCCCGCCATATCCCATCCTCCTCTATCAACACAATCGTTACATTTAGGAAATTACATCTGTTTTGATCATAAATATGCCCTAACTCATGCCAAATGTCGTTTATTCCTTCCGTGCTTAGGGATTCTAATACTCCCACCTTGCTTCAATGTAACTGTTGCAAAATAGAACTGAAATTCCTTCTCCTCCGTTTTCTTTCCAGCCTCTCTCTTTTTCCACTTTCCTTGATCTTTTTGCAGTTTATACAGCTTGCCTGAATCTTTCTGGCAAACCCACCCGAAGGCTTTCCTGCTTCAGCAGAAACACGTCAATCACTCTAAGAGTCCGGCCTCTCTACGTGTCCTGTGCCATTACGTGCAAGGAAAACTATGAGGTATCGTTCCACCCCTCACCACCCTCCCCATCAACACTGTGATTTCAATCACCCTTCCATCTTTTTTAACAGTATCAGCATATCGGCATGAGGATCTCAGCAGCCCAATCTCCTTACATGGCTTCAGTTTCATTTTAGATCACATTTTCCATAGAAATCTTAAGAAGTTATACACACTATGTTGCTTTTAAAACGGCCTTCCTTTGGGGCGCCTCTTGGTTTCAGCTCAGGTCATGATCTCATGGTTTGTGAGTTCAAGCCCCACGCCTAGGCCCTGCACTGACAGCTTTGCAGCCTGCTTGGGATTCTGTCTCCCTGTCTCTCTGTCCCTCCCCGACCCTCTCAAAAGAAATAAATAAACATCTTAGACTGCTTTCCAGGGGTGCCTGGGTGGCTCAGTCGGTTGAGCGTCCGACTTCAGCTCAGGTCACGATCTCGCGGTCCGTGAGTTCGAGCCCCACGTCGGGCTCTGGGCTGATGGCTCAGAGCCTGGAGCCTGCTTCCGATTCTGTGTCTCCCTCTCTCTCTGCCCCTCCCCCGTTCATGCTGTGTCTCTCTCTGTCTCAAAAATAAATAAATGTTAAAAAAATTTTTTTTTTTAAAAAAAAAGGAGCATGTGTTCATTATGAAGAATTTGGAAAATGCAAAAAACCTGAAGAGGTATCTCTCCCAATCTCACCACAGAGAGTTCTTTAACTTTCTAAATAGACTTGAAACAAAAACTTTATTGACCAAAGTTATTACCTGTTTTTTTGTAAGTTATCATTTATTCTGAGAGAAAGAGAGAAAGAGCACACACGCAAGCAGAGGGGCAGAGAGAATCCCAAGCAGGCTCCATGCTGTTAGCACAGAGCCCAACGTGGGGCTCGATCCCACGAACCATGAGATCATGACCTGAGCTGAAATCAAGAGTGGGACACTCAACCAACTGAGCCACCCAGGTGGCCCAACCAAAGTTGTTGCTTTAAACGTCCATTACTGAAAAGGAGAGGGGATAACAGGGATGCTGTTGAGATGTCATTTTTTTTTTGCCTTAATTAATGATGGTGTCACTGTCACTTCTGTTAGTATCTTTGCCAGCTTCCTCCCTGACTAATTAGTATGTTCCCTCTACATTAACACACACACACACACACACACACACACACACACACAGAAGGAAGTCTCTTTCACCCTCAGATGCACCAGAAAGAAAAGGAATATTCTGGAACACAGCATTAAGAACAGAAATGAGAGGCAGAGCTGAGGGGCAAATGTAAAATCCTGTGTACAGATGGAGTGGGGACAGAGGGAGAGACAGACAGAAAGAGGGACAGAACTGGAGGAAAGAAAGTTATAACAGTTCATTATCAGTTCATATGAAAAAGACTTTGAGTTTTAGTTGTTTGCAGGGCGACTAAAGTCAAACAAGAAAATTAGCAATTCAGGAAACAATAAATGTTGGTGAGGATGCAGAGAAAGGGGAATCCCTTCGCAGTGCTGGTGGGAATGCAAACTGGAAAACAGTATGGAGGTTCCTCAAAAAATTAAAAATGGACCTACCCTACAACCCAGCAATTGCACTCCTAGGTATTTATACAAAGGATACAAAAATAGCGATTCGAAGGGGCACGTGCACCCCAATGTTTACAGCAGCACTTTCAACAATAGCCAAAGTATAGAAAGAGTCCAAATGTCCATCGACCAATGAATGGATAAAGAAGATGTGGTCTATATACTCGATGGAATATTACTCAGTGATCAAAAAAAAAAAAAAAAAAAGAAATCTTGCCATTTGCTACAATGTGGATGCAACTAGAGATATATTATGCTAAGTGAAATCAATCAGTCCGAGAAAGATAAATATCACATGATTTCCCTCAGGTGTGGAATTTAAGAAACAAAACAGATGAAATAGGGGAAAGGAAGGAAAAATAAGATAAAAAGGAGAGGGAGGCAAGCCATCAGAGTCTCTTAAATACAGAGAACAAACTGAGGGTTTCTGGAGAGGCGTTGGGTAGGAGGATGGGCTAAATGGGCAAGGGGCATTAAGGAGGGAACTTTTGGGATGAGCACTGGGTGTTCTGTGTAAGTGATGAATCCCTAAATTCTATTCCTGAAACCTTTACTACACTATAGGTTAACTAACTTGGATTTAAATAAAATTTAAAAATTATAAAAAAAAAAATAAAGCCAAACTAGGCTACCAGCAGGGCACATCTTCATGTTACCAATCTAATAAGTCTACCTAAAGGGGCAACAGGAAGAAGAGAAGAGAGAATTCAAGGATGTGGTTAATCTGCAGATGAAATAAGCCGTACGTTCACTGAAACCCACTCCAGCCCATAAAAACAGAAAAGAAGTGGTCAAATTACATTTATCAGTGTACTCGAGGCAGTAAGGGAGTGAGTCACTGTACTTCTCTTCTATTCTGGTGCACAGTCTTTTCCTGAAAGTAACTTTCCTCCAGGGGCACAGGTAGGCCATAAACATATGAAATTAATGAAAACTTTTATTAACTTTTATCAAGAATAACAGAAAAGCAGACAATAGGATGATTCAAAATACCTCCGATGTAAGGAAACGGCCCAAATGACTATCATCTGACTTTCTGAATCAGTTTGCTCAAAGAGAAACTGACTAATAATGAAGAACTATGGAATTTTATTCCAATAATCATGTGCTCCTGACATTTTATTCCATTAGGAATTTCGACCCATAAACCACAATGTGAGTAGGTATTTTTGGTGGTGCTTTTTGGTGGAAATTCCTGTACAAATGGCTAAACAGTCCAAACTTCATGCTGCCACAGTGATTGCCCGGAAGTTTCTCTCATCTAGAAGATAGCGTTTCAGTATATTTATGTTTGCCAAATCATCTCTGTTTTCATCAGTATTGGAAGAGGAAAACTTGCTATCCCCATGCCGCTCTGTACGGCCTCTCTTCCACACCCTCCCTCCTCCCCCGAAACTGCACTGTCCCGGAATTTATGGCACATTGTTAGTAAAATATCCCCTATTTCCTCAATTGCTTCCCTTCGACATTTGCTCTAATGAAAACCCTTCTCTCTCTTGAGATCATACCTGTCCTTGCAGACATCTTAAGTGTTAGCTGGTTTCCCTCTCTCATCACTGACCCTGGAGATGAGGAAGGTGCCCTCCTTCCTCCTCATTGTCACCTGCAAAAAATTGTCTCTGCTTCCTTCCTAAAACCCTAGCGTTTAGAAGCTCATGCCATCCCTCCTTGCTGTTGACACCTACAGACTCCCCTGGGTCACTCCCTACTGAAAAAAATTAGAACCTGAGTATTGTCACTCTCTCCACCACATGATCCTTGATGATTTCAATATCCTTACAGAAGAACCTGCCCACACTCTGGCTTCCCAGGTCCCTGGCCTGCCTTCCAACAAAGATCTTGTCTGCCGTTCTAAGTCAGGCCGCCAGGGGGCGTGCTTCGGAGCCTGTTACTCCCCCAGGTATACAGGTTCCATCTGTTCTGACACCACCTTGCACTTTTTCCATGACCTTAGCCCACGTTCTTACTTCTGGTCTGTAATCAGTACTGGAGCATTGCTACAGTTAAAGTACTGTCCTAAAAGCACAGGGATTTTGATGAATTCTATGTTGTATGATCCAGAAAAAAAAAAAAATTCTAGTGCATGATAGTGCATTGGTAACTCTATGCTAAATCACTGAGAGACTCTAAATCTCAGTGATTTAGCATAGAGTTACCAATGCACTATTACACACACACACACACACACACACACACAGACACACACATACATGTGTGTATGTACATATAAGCTTTTTATTTTAGAATAGTTTTTTTTCAAGTTTTAATTAATTTACTTAAGTAATCTCTACCCCCAACATGGGGCTCACACCCACGACCCTGAGATTAAGAGTCCCCACATACCCCACATGCTTCCCCAACTGTTAACATCTTATCTTAGTACATTTGTCATAACTATAAACCAATGCTGACACATTATCATTAACTAAAGCCCACACTTGATTCAGATTTCCTTAGCCTTTCTTTCGTCCTAATGTCCTTTTCTGTCCCAGAATCCCACGCAGGATATGTGACATTTAGTCATCGTGTCTCCTTAGGCTCTCTTGACTGTGACAATTTCTTAGACCTTTCTTATTTTTGACGACCTTGGCAGTTTTGAAGAATACTGGTCTGGTAGTTCGTAGAATGTCTCTCCACTACGATGTGCCTGCCGGAGAGAACTTCCTTTTTGACCAGGTGTAGATCTTCCGCTTACAATTTTACACGTCTAAGGATGGGAAGAACATTTCAAATACTAGCACGGCAAGCCGGGAATGCTGGCTTCAGGCAGCTCCCCGGCTCACGCCTCGGCCCAGAGAGAAGTGGCTCATGTCTGAACGCTTAGTCCTCATCATTCTGTCTGGCACGTAATATTAGCTTATCGAACATTTCCTGCTAGTGACAACGAGGCTGTATCCTGATGATGAAACCAGAGTTAGCTAGGCAGCACAGGTCGGGGCGGTGTGGTATGAAGGGGAATCCTGGGTAAAGGGAACAGCAGGTACACAGGCTAGGAGGCAGGAGAGAGAGATTGGGGGAAGTATAATTATCCAACAAGGCTGAAGCATAACAAAGGTGAGTGTCTCAGTCGATGGGGCTTTTAACAAAATACCGTAGACCGGGTGGCTTATAAGCAACAGAAACTTCCTTCTCATAGTTCTGTAGGTTGGAAGTTTAAGATCAGGATGCCAGTGAGGTCAAGTTCCGGCGAGAGGCCCTCCTGCATGTTGCAGTCTGCTGACTTTTCACTGTGTCCTCCACGATGGAAGGGGCCAGGGAGCTCTCTGGGGTCTCTTTAATAAGGGCACTGATCCCATTTTGAGGACCCCACCCTCATGACCTAAGGCCCCACCTCCTAACACCATCACCTCCGGGTTAGGATTTCAACGTAAATCTCATGGGGGACACCTTCAGTCCATGGCAGTACGTGTGTATCGGGAGGGGCGTGAAATCAGGAGAGAAAAGCACGGCGCAGGATAAGCGGGGGTTGGATCGTAGAATGTATGCCATACTTAAGAGTTTGAATTTATCATAAAGGTTTCGGGGAACAGCTTCCTTTTCGAGGAACATAAAACATGGGTTGATGTTACAAAGACGGCCCAAGGCTGCGCTCTAGAGGGCGGATTGGAGGAAGGCCTGCCTGGACGGTGCAAGATCAGCAAGGTTACCACCTAGGTGGGAAATGGGGAGGCTGGGGCCGCGGGGAGTCAACTGCGCAGGAGGTAGCACACGCGGAAGTTGCAGACATGTGG